GCCGTGGGCGGGGCAGGGGCCGCGGCAGGAAGGGCGGCAGCGACGTGGACACGGACGACGGCGGCGGCGGCGGCGGCGGTGGCGGCGGGCGCGTGTCTGACGACGGCCACGAGTCCATGTAACTGTCCGCGCTATCATCAGCGTCCTCCAGCAGGCACAAGATCTCCTGCCAATTGTGTTGTTGAGGCTCTATTTGCTAACGCAAGGGGGGTTGGGTGGCACTGTTGATCTGAGAAAGTTGTCCCTGAGTGCTCCGTGATCAGCTAGCATATTGGAAGATAGACAATGTTTGGCCATTGATTGTCAACGACGTTCTTGATTGATGCGTCGTTCATGCACCGAACCGTTGGCCGGAAACCGCGGGGTGGAAGCTTCACTGTGTCATCGCCGTCGCGCGCCCTTCAAAGTGAATCCAAACGACTTGATCCATAGTTTGATATGGTATGTTTCTTCCTATGTGAAGGAGCTCGTGCGCGCGAGCAACCGGTACTCGCCGACCTTCAAACACCTTACCGCGCGGATTATTAGGGCTCCTATCCGTCGGTATGGCGCATTGGTCGCACGTGCTGCTGGTAGCCCTGGCCCTGACGCTTGTGGCGCACGAGGCTGCGGCAAGCATCGCGGCGGAGGAGAATGTGCAGGAGGATGCGCAGGCATTGATGCGCAGGCTGCTGGCATCAGGTGCGACTTCACGCATGCATCAACACGGCACCACCGATCGCCTGATACATGTCTATGCATGCTGTAGAGCTGATCAGGCATCATCCCGGCCGCTTCCAGACGCGAGCGGGCACGGGCTGGCCGAATACGCGGCCCGCTCCCTGACCGCATCCTCCGCGCCGTAAATGCAACCACAGCCCAAAGCGCCGTCCCTGAGGCTTCTGCCGCTGCTCCGGCTGCCGAGGTCGCTGGTGTTGCCCCGGAGACGCCCGTGGTGGTGCTGGGACCCTTCAACAGGACGGAGCTGCTGCTCAACCCCGGCCTGCTGCGTGTCAGGAGTGAGCGGCGCCCTGGGTCCCGGTCAAAAAGCTTGCGCGGGCTGACTGTTCACATGCGCTCCCAACTTTCAAATTCCGCAATCATACCTGCACGCACAGCCAGCGGCTGTGCTCACATTGTATCTCAGGGCTTCAGGTACTTGCATGACCAAATCGACGCAACAGCACCCTTCCATCCGCCCCTTTTCCCCGCGCTCCCGCCCCGTAAGGCTACGACTCTCCAACGGCGCAGCCCCTTGTTGAGCTCGCAGCCCAGGGGGCCCTCGTCTCCGCCACCCTGAGCGACGCCCCCGCCGACAGGGCGGCCGTCCCGGACTCCTTTTTGGGCCTGAGCTTGGACGTGAAGGATGTGGAGGGTGTCGCCAACCCCGACTATATTGAGCTGGTCAAGCAGCTGACATCCTTCCAGACGGGGCCACTGGTGGGCGGCCTTAAAGTTGTTGACTCTGAGAACGGGGCCTGCAATGAGGGAGGGGTTGGCACCTCTGTGACTGCTATCATGGGACGTCAGAGTCTCTCCACAAGCAGCAGCCCGGCAGCCAACGTGGTAACCAGCGTCGCACTTGCTGCGCACCTCTCTGCCCCTGGCTCCCTCGCCCTGGGCCCGCAGTACATGCGTGTCGGCGCATACAGCGCGGACCGCCTGGTGGCGCCCTGGAATGGCACCGTGTACTTCGCGCTCGCCCGCCTGCACCGCGCGACGGGCGTGAAGTTCATCATGGGCGTCAACCAGCACGCAGAGGACGAGGCGGTTACGCAGATGCAGGTCAAGCGCAGCCAGCAGCTGCTGCCCCCTGGCTCCATTGTGAGCTTCGCAGTCGGCAACGAGCCCGACATGTGAGTACCCATGAGTGTCTTTTGCACGGGGCAGTTGCGGCATTCTCTCTTGTAGCATGCAGTACAACGTGTCCAAACAAAGTTGCATATGTCTGTGCATGCTATTCTGCTAGCGCAAGGCAGCTGTCCTAGTGCGCGTACATCACCTCTCGACCCCTGTACAATGAACCCTGTCTGATTCACAGGTATAGCCTGGCGGCGGCCAACGGCCTGCCTGGGTCGGACCTGCCCAAGCCTGCTGACTGGCTGGGGTGAGTCGCCTGGCCGGCCTGTGCGCAAACAGCTCCTTGAGCGGCCGCACTTGGGACATGACCTCGCCACACAACCCAGCAAAGCGCGCATAGTAGTCAAGTTGTCACCAAATGACACTTCACAAACAGCTATCTGTACTACTTGCTGTTCTGACTTATTGCTCACAGCTTTCATCCCATTTTAACTATTTAGCAAGTGCCTCCCCTCAACCCCGTTCCCGACATGATACATCGTGCTTGCAATCCTCAGCAAGAACTGGGTCCCGGTGGCGCGCCGCATCTACAGGGCAGCCTTCGACGCGGCCGGTGCCAGGCCCATGCTCGCCGGACCTGACTGGTCAGATGCTCACCTGTCCCCCAAGACCCTGCAGTGGTGCGCGTTGGGAGGGAGTGGGGTGGCCTGCAAGGGGGCGGGGATTGTGTGTGCAAGCAAGCAGCTAGGCTGGCTGGTTTGCAGGTGTGCGGTCGGGTAGATGGCGCATTGCCAGGCCATACCGCTGCTTAGTTACCAATTTAAGGCTGCAGGAGCTTTATAACATCAGCAATGTGGACGTTTGTTCTATGGTAAGACAATCGCCTGTCCCCAGCAACACCCATCCTCAAATCCCTCCGTGCACCAAACGAACAATCTTCATGCACCATGTCAGGTGGCTGCGCAGCGTCCGCAAGTCCCTGAACATGATCACTGTCCACTACTATGGCGGTGAGTAGCCTCGGTCCCGGGGGTTTTGCAGCATTAACTTGGAATCACTTGGCATAAGCATGGGGCTGTTGTACGCTGCAGGAAGCCACAGGGTGCATGCAAGCATTGTTGCTCCCACTTGCAATGATTGAGCTGCAAAACCACCTGCCTGTTTGCCAGGTGAGATCCTGAAGGACACCCAGATCAGCGAGTTGCTGGACGACGCCAGGATGGTAAGTGCGGCTGCTGCACATGATGGAGGACTAGATTGAGTATTGTTGGGATGCGTCAATAAGAGGGCTCAGCTGCATGGGAGCATCGAACGTTGACTGCAATACGACATAGAGACAGCAGCGATGCGCACGTGTCAAGGTGTTGCTGGAGATCCCTCACAAAAGATTCCAGGCGCAGCATACCCAAGCCCGCATTGGCACCTAAACACTGCGCTCCCACGCGTGGCCCTCGGCGCCCCACCCACACGACACTTGCTTTACCTGCGGATTGATTCCGCCACGCCCCACCCCTCACCATCACACACCCCAAACCCTCAGGTGTCCAAGATGTCCAATGTGCGCGCCCTGGTCAACGTGGGCAAGGAGAGCGGCGGCCTGCCCCTGCGGATCACAGAGTCTGCCACCATAAGCTACGGCGGGGTGCAGGGGCTGTCAGACACTGCCGGTGCTGCAATCTGGGCGCTGGATGTTGCTCTTGAGCTGGCTTATGCTGGGGCAAGCGGCATCCACTTCCACCAGGTGTGTGGCTGCTCTGTCAAGAGTTGTCTGATGCGAATGTACTATTGTGCCTCCAAATGGACATGGCCAGGCTTGGTTCATTCCTGCCACCCTGGTCACATGCACGCACATGCAGCCACTAGGGCACACCGCACGCTCATGCGCGTGCATGAAGGCATGTGCACGCGCGCACGCGCGCACGCACGCAAGCACACCCTCCGCGTCTGTCTCAACCTCCATTGATCGTCAGCCCTCCAATCTGCACACAACTTCCCCTCAGGTCCTCAACCGCGCCGGCAACGCCAACTACAACGCGATCGTGTACGACGCAAACACCAGCACCGTCTACGCGCGGCCGCCGCTCTACGGCTACCTCATGCTGCAGCAGTCCCTGGCCGGCGGCGCAGACATTGTCGGCCGCTCGGTGTCCCCTTCGGGCTGCAAGGTCTGGCTGCTCAAGGGCCGCGGCGACGGGTCCCTGCGCGCCGTCGTTATCAACAAGTCGGGGCAGGGCAGCGAGTGCGCGGCGGACGTGCAGCTGGACGCCGCGCAGGCGCGGCGGTACAGCGACCAGGCGGCTGCGGAGTACATCCACGCGCCCGGCGGGCTGGACGAGCGGTGGAGGGTGTTCTACTCGAACTGGTACTACGATGTGCAGGGCAGCGCGCGGCTGCGCGAGGCGAAGACGGTGCCGCTGCAGCGGTAAGTGCGGGATCGAGCGCGCCCAGACAGCAAATCTTTTTAAGGCGAAGTCTAGTGTCTGGCATCGCATGTGCATGGCTTGAAATGCAGTGATGCAGGGGTTCTTGCTGTGTATTGTGGTTGTGTATAAAATTCCAGTGGGGTCCTGCCTAGCTGAGTTTGCACTAAACGTCCATTCACCAGCCAAGTTATCTGCCGCATCCTACGTTCTGGCCCTGTCCGCTGCAGGTACAGCAAGCGCGACAGGCGCGGCCACGTCAGGGGGGCCGGCTTCGTCGCCCACCTGACCAACGGCACCCTGGCCGCGCTGGTCAACATTCCGCTGGCCTCACCCGCGGAGCAGCAGGCGTTTGACGCCTACGAGGCGGCCCTCGTGGCGGCCGAGGTCCGGGAGCCCGGGGCACGCACGTCGCTGTGATCTGCTTCCGAGGTTTGGAGCGGAATCTGAACGCTTGAAAGCCAAGCAGCAAAGCAGCAATTTGATTATTGCGTCGGACAACGCTCATGACCGGGTAGATTAGGAGAAGCGTCACTCAGTATGCTGGCTTGCAGCATGTGTCATACATAGGGAGCTGATCTGTTTGCGAAGAGGCAGCAGTTGCTGACCATTACTTTTCAATGGTTCAAGTGGCCCTTTCGTGCCCTTCATTATTGCTTTCCAACAATGGAGAGGGTGAAAAGCCGTCACGTGGGTGTGCTGCGCCCGCAACAGCATAGGCGGTTGGGTTTACATTTTGAGAGTTTTATTGCACACAGCACGCCCTCTGTTGCTGTGGATGGCGTTACAACAAACTTGGCGCCTGTCCAACTTGCCTCCAGCCTTGATTACAAACGTGGCGCCAACACCACACTGCTCCTTCGTGTACTGCCTGTGCCAAGTGCTTTCCATAGCGTGCACGCTTCGTGATGTTGTTCAAGATGCGAGCCTTGTGTTCGCACCAGTAAATGTCATGAACACGCACCTCTGTCAAATATTCGATGCAAGAATGACCATTGCAGGTCACCTGTCCGGCCACCCAATGGGCTTGCTGGCAGCATCCTCAGCCTGGAAATACAACAAGCCGAGCTGAATCGGCCTGCAGGCCATCAAGAATAGCCAGCAAACAATACACGGTCAAAGCACTGATCAACCGCGTGAGCGTACGCGGCGGCAGGCATGGCCTCACGCAGCCTTCAGCCGCGCGTCCAGATCAGCTTCGCTGACCACCTCGCCGCCCCCGTTGACGTCCGCGCCGCCGCTGACCTGTCCGCGGTCCGGAGCCGCCACCTGGCTGTGGCGGCGGCCGACGACCACGCCATAAATGGCGGCCAGGATGAGCACCGTCATCTCCACCGAGAGGCCCAGCACAAACTGCGCCCCCATCGCCACCAGCAGGCCGGCAAGTATGGCGGGGCCGAGCCGAGAGACCTGAGGAGGAGACGGTTTCAAGGGTAGAGACGGCCCGCGTGTGATCAAATGGGTGCGTCATTGCCTTGCCCTCGATGTGTGCGGAAGGGGAGAAGGGTAAGTAGATGCGATGCGGGTGTGGCTGATTGGCAGCAGAAACGTTGTTCTTGTGATAGAAAGCAGCACAGGAGGGTGCTGCAGAGGCGGCAAGCCAGCACCCCCTGAGGGTGGCTGCAGGTGTCCACCCCAACAAGCGTCTATCCTAAAGTAGAAGGCTGCCTGCAGCGATGGTCACGTCGAACGCACGAGCGAGAATGCACAAACTGATCCACCCCGCTCGCCCATCCACAACAGTATCAGCCTTGCTGCGGCTGGCCCACCCGGCCGCGCAGCTGCTGACTCAAGATTCAGCCTGGACCCACCAGAGCAATGTTGAGCACGAGGCCCATCCTCATAACCAGCTCAGCCACGAAGCCTGGGCCCAGCGCGCGCACCAGCGCGCCTGTCGCGGGGGCCCCCGCC